TAGTTTGCCTCCTCCTGTATTTGATAGTGCATTAACAGCCAAGGAGAGGGCAGGGAGCAGGAGTATCTGCCCACATGGTGCTTGGAGGAAGGAGAGCCACACTGCAGAAAGCACACTTCCATTTCTTTTGACAGTGTCCCCTTTACTTTTGCTGTGGTTCTCTGCTTTCTGTGTGCTTGGGCCCCTGCCATTAAGCCATTCCTGTGCTGAAGATCTACATTGGTGCTGATAAGGGCTGCCTGTGGGACTTCTCACAATGGGGAGAGTGCCCCAACTCCAAAAGAAAACCAAAATGAGTATTTATATGTGAGCACTCCTTCCTGCCAAGCTGTGTGCTATCAGCACAACGTGGAGTGGGAGAGCTAAGGAAGCAGCAGAACTGTTCTTGCTGTCCTGCTTGGTAGATTTACCTCTCATCCCTGGTCTGCGAGATCCTTTTGCTCGTACCTCTTAGCTCTCATCTTTACTTCTGAGCTACAAAGGAAACTAATTCTTTTACTTCAGCAGTGACAGCAAAAAGGATATCTTTGCTTTTGATACTTACATGCCTGCATCTACAGGGCCTCCATCAGCCTAGGAGAGATAAGGAAGGGCCCCAGGGAATAAAAAAGACAGAAAAAGTACAGCCAAGGAGTGTGGGATAGACCTGGGTGTTACCCACGGTGTAAGGCAGTGACTGGGATCTCTCCTAAGCTAGACAGCACTGCGTTGGCTCTCTAAGCAAGTCAGGTGGCAGACCTGCATTAAAAAAATAGTATGCATTTTTACTTCTCCTAAGGCATTTCTCCAGATTCCTATTAGCAGCCACGTGAGGGGACAGGGACTGTGCTCTGGGTAGGATGGGGGCTGCAGGAGTAAGCAATTAATAAATGCTTTCTCATCTTACCCAACCCAGTAGGTTAGGTGATCAAGTCACTGGTGCTCAAGTCTCCATCTTTGTCCAGAACCTTTGTTCAGAACCAGGCCACGTCCACCTCCTAGATGGCAGGGAGGAGTCAGCTGTGTGTTCCCCACAAGAAATGGTGCAGGTCTCATGTGTCCATTGGTCTCTAGCTCTAATTGGCACTGAAAGAGCAGGGGACAAAGGTGAGTGTTTTTTGCATCTTCGTATAGCAGGAATACAAATCCACACAGCTGGGGAAAACCCTCACAAGCTTCAGCATATGGAGTCCAACCAATGGCAAGGTACCTCTGTTAGAAGTAACCTGCTGATTTCTCCCAGCCTGCCTAATAATTTAATGACCAAACACTAGACACAGTATGAGCTAGAGAAGAAGACTGACAAACAGGTTATTGAATGCACTTAAAAGGCTGTGAAAGCAAGGTACAATTGGCAATGCCTCGAGAACTAGGGAGTAACTTGCATTTATGACTGTTTCATTTCATGCTGCTGACTGCTGTGATGCTCCCTGACTTTTTCCAGGGATGCTGCTGAAATGGCTGCTATACAATGAATCTGAGCTGCTAGAGCCTGAGAAGGGCATCCTGCTGCTCTTCACCTTGGAACCAGGGCGCCCCAGTTCCCTGCTGCTGCCTTGCCACTCTGGCTGAGATGCTCCTTCACCAGTTGCTAAAGCACAGAAAAATGCTTTGCAGCCCATCTTGCCCTCTTTTAGTATTTAATTCCATAGGGTAGGAAAAAATAAAGAGAGAGGAAGGCCTGTGTTTGCTGCCTAGCCAGAAAAGGAAAAGCAAGAGAAAGAAACCTGGAATGGGGGTCTTGGCAGCATGGCCAGCAAACTTCTGTACATACACAAACATAACCCAGCAGAGAACAGAAAGGGTCCAAAATAAATGCCAGTAGCTAGAGCTGCCTGCTTACCAAATCTGACATTCTCTTGCTAGTTATGGAGGCAAGAAATCCCTTTGCTCATTGGTGCATCCTCCTTTCTCTGCAGCATCTCTGCAGACTGTGGTGATTCTGGCTGTTCCCACTGGTACAGCTTCCTTGGGCTTGAAGACAAATTAATGTTATACACAGGCAGCTGTTCATTAGCACTACTGTTCATTTTACCTGCAGATTAAACTGAGTTTAACATGTTTGACATAAATGATCTGTCCAGCAAGTGGAGCTGGTTTGGATGTGCTGAATTTTGGCAGCTACAAAAGAGACTGTCAAAGAAACATGGCTCCAGCCAAATGTGAGCATTCATGCCAACAGAGTGGCCTGATTTGTGCCAAGTAAGATGCTACCTATCAGCAGGAGGGAGATGACGAAGCTCTGCTTGCCAGTTTGTCTATGTCACCTGCTTCTGTAGGAGAAGAATACATCATTAATTCTGCTTGATAGGATTTTAATAAACACATACCTTTTAATGATTACCTAAAAGGAAATGTTTGGATTATGGCATCTGGGATGAGCTCAAGGTGAATTTGAGCACTTTCCCCTTCAGACAGACTGTTTGTTTCAGGAGCTCACCTGGATGTAGGTGGGGACAGACTTCAGCCTGCTCATCCCCTCAGCACAAAACTATGTAGCCTACCCATATATGCTTTTCCCCACCTTCATAGGAGCCAGTAGAAAGTTCACAACTGGGAACATAGTGCCAGTACTTAAGATGAGACCTTTTGGATATGCTCTGCAATGATTTCTGTGACAGGTAGGCATGCAGTACACCAAAGCTGAGTAAAAGAAACATCTGCAAGCCTCATATTTTGGCTGCATGTAAGAAGTGCTACTCAGAAGTGCATATGTGCAGGCTGTGCTGAGTGCAGCCCTTCCTTGTCACATGGCCTTTATCCCTCTTCCTTTCCTGCTAGCTTTGCCTTCTCAGATCTGTATAGAGGAGACAGAGCAGCCTGCAGCTTGTACCCCCCCCAGCACCAGGAAAGAGCTCCAGGCTGAGGTGGTTCTCTCCATACTACTCAAGAGTGGGAAAACTTTTGAGACTCTTCTTCCTCTTGGGTTCATTTACACAGAGTTGATTTACATCAAGTTAGAATGCGAGTTCACACGTATACAAACCCCTCTGTGAATGCTGGTCTCCAGGTCTATTGCAGTGACCTGGGAAGAGGCTCTGACCCCAGTAGGTATTCCTTCTTACCATCTGGCTAACTAACATGCTGAGTCCTACTCTGCTACCACTGCGAAGAGGCCATGCTCTTCTTCTCTGTAAGAACATCCCTAGTTGCATTCCCATGCTTGCTCCCAGGTGAGGTATGTACCAAACTAACCATTTTCCAGCATACAACCAGGCAGCTCTAAGTTTCCTTTTCCTAACCAGAACAGCAGGTTGACGACTTTCTAATTTAAAAGCTAGAAATTTCTGGTTCCACAGAATGCTGAAAGTGGCACAGAACTGAAGCTGCAGTGCTTGGTGCTCGCAGCACTGCTGGCTCGGGGCAGGAGAGGCAATTCTGTCATGTTTCTCAGGGCAGCTGGCAGAACTGTGCTGGCAAAACTTTGAGGTATGTGCTCACAGGGTCTGCTGCCATTGAGAGGTTTTGTGGTGGGGTCATGTAGATTCTGGCTTGGTCTTTTCAGTCTCAGCACTAGTTTAAATATCCAGTAGGGGCTTGCTTAAGAACAATACTCAAAACAGAGACTCTTAAACCAAAGCACCCGAGGTAAGTAGCTTGCAAAACATTCGTGTCAGCGTAGTTGCTGAGGTGTAACTGTGCTGCCTATTTGGCCTGTTCCCTCTGCCTGGCATGCTCTGATCTCTGTGCTTTGCACCCTCCCCTGCACGAGTCTCTTTGTGCCATAATACCTTTCTTTTTTAGATGTGCACACTGGCCAAATAATATCCTCATGTCTTTACTGACTGCCGACTGAGATTATTCCCTGACCTAGCCAGACAGCATGGGCTTCAACCTCTGCATGGATCCTGGTGTGCCATGCTTCCCTCTCCCACACCTTTCGCAGCACTTGCTATGGCTTTCCCCTCTCCCACACACCTCTGCTGCCAGACAATCATTCCCTTTGTCGTGGATGGACTGACCTGGTGCTGTCCCTGCTTGCCTTCCCTTGATGCTGTCTGTTTGCCCTTTAAGCGAATGTGTTTTGTTTGTTTCCTTATTTTATTTTTCAGTAGGGAAAAGACTTCCTTCTGTGGAAGGAGTGATATTTGCACATGGCTCAGGGAGGAAACCTCCTCTGGCCGTTTCTGTTACCTCACTCATGTAGGCCAATTCCATTGCTAACGTTAAATGGCCACCCTTCCCCAACCCAAACTCCAAGAATCGGTAGGGAATAAAACAAATGTGCAGCTCAGGTTCTACAGCTGCTTGGTCGTGTCTCAGTCTCGGCCCAAACTGCCCCAGCAGCATTAGGAGGTGGGAGAACGGCTGTTGCAAAACAGCTCTACCCAGCAAAGAGGTGGAGCCTGCGCCACACACGTGCATTCCAGTCTTTGCAAGCCCACCTCCCTTGAAATAGCACTTAGCAGAGCAGATACAGCAGCACTAACCTGGCTCTTGGCCCGACGAGCTCAGAGCAGAGGGAGGAGCAGCAGAACCATCGCAGCGTACATCTCTGACCACCAGGACTGGCACTGTGTGGCTGTGGCACCTCTGGGACGTCGTCACTCTCACAGCAGTTCATCTCATCACACGCTCCAGGGCTGGGTAAAGCTGCTAAACACCCTGGAGTGTGTTCTGCCCACCTGAGCCCCAGATCCTGCAACCCCCAATTGCTGCCCTAATGGCAGATGAATGAGGATCTCCTCTTGTCAGCGAGGCGAGGGAACGGTCACACCGACACCCATGGGTGTGGGCTTCCCTTCTGGATATCAGCACCCGGGAAGCAGAGGCTGTTGGCCACAGCCTGCAGCAGTGATGTGAACTTCAGGGTGGGCCGGGGGAGGACCCGTGGTTTTGTTTTAGGAGTTGTTTAACTGTCATCAGGTTTGCGCTGTGCGCAAAACGCGACAAAATGATGATGAAACTTACCTGCTAGAACCTAGGAACTGTAAAGGCTATGCAGCCAAAACTCCATGTAAGTAGCTAGAACAATGGAAGTACGGTATAAATTAAACAAAAAAGTCTATCAAACCACAGTGTGACTTGTGAGTGCTTTGTTCTTTTTATTGTCCTGCCTGCTTCTAGGCTTTTCTATCATTTCCAGATACACAGAGAAGGTCTCTTCAGATCCCAACCAGGACCGTCTCTCCCAGGACATAACCTGCCTTTAATGCTGCCCTTGAAATAAACCAACCTTTTTTTTTTCCCCGTTGGAATCCTGAGCAAAATTTAGACACCATTTTCCCATCTAGGACAACACAGGGCAATAGTCAGATGCAGGAACTGGAAAAGTGAAAGATGTGTCCAAAAAAGCATCTAAAGAAGATGTGTGTAAAATAGCACAAGGTGCAGGACTACAGGACAGCCCTCCCTTACCACCCGAGGTCGCTCTCAAGAAACAGTTTACACCTTTTTTTGGTTTTCTTTTGGCTCAACGTTGTACCATCAGAAGGTTATCAGCACTTCACAAGGGCTGGGAGGAACACGGCTGAAGTGGGAGAGGGGTTTAATGGCCTTACCTAAAAATCACCCTGGGTGTTAGTGCCATGATCAGCGACGGAAACTGCAGGGCCAGCTCCTCTGTTTCTGTGGATCTAGAGTTAGAATTATGCCCCCAAATGCCCTGAGGCCAGGCAAGATGGCCTAGGGAAAATGAAGACACCCAGCAGAATGAGAAGAGGAGGCATTTGGGGGGTATTAGAGTTTAAGGTGCCCAGACTACAAGCGTGATTCAGCTGCAAAACGTGCTCAGGTTGCCAGACTCAGCTCTGTGAACTGCATTGTAACAGCTGGCTAAAGTTGAAACTTGCTCCTAAAAAGGGAATTTTGAACAACGGCCAGTTAGAAATCCGGCCTGGACCTGACTTACAAATGGAGACATTTCTATGGTTTTTAGCAACACAAACTGCAGCAGAACATAAGCAGGGGAAATCCCGTATGTACAGAGCATGCCTTGAGATTCACAAGCACTTCAGAGTACTTAGAAGCAGTCGGTGTAGCAAAATTTGTCAGCTCTTGCAAGCAACAAAGGCTCCATTGCAGCAGGGATGTAACAACATCTCCCATATGAAAAAAACCCCCTCAATCTTTCCCCACTTCATCCTAAAGTACAACTTTACCCTGGCCAATATTTCTGCCTGTTTTTTCCCTCATAATCCTGGTGGTTGTGCTCAACTGATCTACACTCAAAGCCAGCAAACTAATTGCACTCTGCTTAAGCCACTAAGATTTAGAAGGTAAATTTGCATAGGTGCCATTGAATTTACAAGGTATTTCCTGTGCAGAAATGTGTCATTTACAATGAATACTGACTATTCAAATCGGTGACTAATCACAAAACAGAATTACTGCAGACTAGGGAAAAACAAGCATTTTCTTTCTATTCCTCTGGGTGGTGCTGCAATACAGTATAAGACGACCATCACAACTGCAAGGATTATTTTACAAAGCCGTGTCCCACTCAGAGGGCTATGCATCCTAGTTACTTTCCTTGCCTGTTCTTCCTTTCAGAGCATCCCCCAGAAATATGTTAAAGGCGTACCTTGTCTTACTGGCTCCCCTGTGGTTGCTGAACACGGCTCCACAGGTTATTCCTATCACTGTCTCTGTATGCTGGAGGAGTAAACCTGCTGCACAAGGCAAATGGAAGGAACTAAGAATTTCAACTCTTGCTAAGTGGAAGGGATGGGACAGGGGATTCTTATACTTACGTTATGCAGCCTCCCAAATTAGGAGTACTTCAGGATTTATATTCTCAGCTCCCTCCTTCAGAAGCAGGTGTGACCATAGCACAGGGACTCATCTTTCTGCTACACATTTTTATCTGTTTGAATGCATTTATAGTTCTCATGCTACTCTGCATCTACCCTAGCAGCCCAAAGTCCAAAGGAACTTACTGAGCAACAACTACACTAATTAAACTCTTCCTGTTTAACACCTATAGTCACATCCTGGGCTGTGGTGGAACATCATCACCTTAAGATGAAGATATTCCCAGTCCTGCAGGTCAGAGTAACAATACACATACCCTTTATGTCTGCAATGGAGAACTAGCATATTTTGCAAATAAAGGTGGTGGTGATAGCAGCTAAGAAATGACATTAACTGTTACAAAGCCATTAACGTGATGATGGAACTGAAACTTGGGAAGGAGCCGTGCTGCCCACACCCCCTGTGCCCTTTGCTCAGCATGCTTCAAAAGGAGAGTCCTGTAACAAATGGGCTGGCAGCTCAGAATGGAGTCATGAGGCCAAAGTCAAGGCTGTACAGAGTCCAAGGCAAATGGAAGAGAATTTACACTTCCCCGTATTTCCTCCTGATGGCGTAGAGCTCCCCCTCAAACCTGGCTGGCATGACGTGATCCTTCTGTCTTCAGAGCCCCTGCAAGTGAGAGAATTCCCCATGGAGTGCAAGTCACTGGAATGTACTCAAGTAAGGGTCATGCCACAATCAGCACAATGCCTGAAGGGACACGAACAAGACTTCCAGGGATCTAGATTCCAGTCTTCTGCACACAAAGCCCTCCCACAGCAGCTGTTTCCTCTGGAGATAGTGTCATTCCTCCTGCACAGCTCCCTGTCTGCAGGGGACAGTCACTATTTCCAACTCCAGAGGATTAGGTAAAGGAGCAGTAATTAAATCACGGCCCGAATGCCACCATTCAGTGATACCTAAATTGCTTCTGAGGTCACTATGGAAGCTCCAGACATGGGGCAAAACCTCCAGAAATCTCCTGTGCCATCTCTCCAGCACCACGCAAATCCTAACCCACAGCAGCAAAGCTGAAGAGTGGACAGGCACAAGCAGCAATTCACTGCTCCCTCATCACTTACCTTGGTGCTGTGCACTCTGCAGATACCTCTCTGTTATTCCTCTACAGGCACGGCACAGTTTTCCTTGTTTTCTGATGGAATTGCAAGGTAGTCTGTCCTGCAGTTGGAAAAAAAGACGAAAGCATAACCTGAAGTGTGTAGCTCAAGTCCTTTCACTCTTTCAGAGATGCTGAATTCCTCAAAGTATCTCTAAGGTAACAAATATCATTCATAGAAGATCCTTGGCATAACCAGAAGCAGATGCTGAGCTTTACCTGCTGTAAAACCCTATGCATACAGCTTTCCCATCACTGTTACTTAAGCTGAGAACGTAAAAAAGATTGGAATGGGCCAGCATAAAAACTGGAACATTGCTGCTCTGTCAACTGCCAGAATTACCCTCTTCTACTGCTTTATCACAGTATAGGCTACAGACTTGTGAGTCAGATCTCTAGAAGTGGGCCTTCCAGGAGAGCATTTCCATGTGGTTCAAATTGGGCCACCTTGGAATCCTGCCCACCTTGGCCACCCTCCCTACCATGTGCATCATCCCTCCCTTGCCAGTGCACTGTCTCTTCGGGTACTCCCGTCCAGTGCAATGATTTCACACACAGCAAACCTCAGCTAGAAATGTGCAACAGCAAAGTTCAGCCTTCTTGCAATCTGACCTGGGCTGAGACATCTGAAGGACCCCTCGTAGAACAGCTGACATCTGGAGAGATTTCACACTTACGCATTTTCCTGGGCAGCCTCCTCTGCCTTAGAGACTTTCCTGTAGCAATAGACCATTTCTATCAGTAGCCACAAGGTGAGGAAGACCAGCAGAATGTACATCATGATTTCAGAGATGACTGAGGTGAAGTCTTCTCCAGCTGTTAAGAAAATGAAATCGTCTCTGGTCATTTACATTCAGCTGTTGGAGCACAGCAGCTCCATTCAGACCTTCCCACCCTCGTCTCCTCTTTCCTAACCTACTTTATCACACAGTCCCAACTGCCACTACTCTGTGAGGGGTCAAAAGACAAGAAACAGGTAAGGCTGCCAATAAAACACGCCAGCAGCAATTTCAGGGCATGTTTCCACTGGTATCAAAGATGCATAGGCTTGCCTGTGTCTTGTGTTCTCTGCAACCTACACATTCATACAGACTGCTCACCATGAGCCTATCTCAGCTGCACATACCCTTTCCTTCACGTGTCTGACTTGCTGCAGTTGCTTGAGAGTGCTGTGCCACCACTGATTTGGAGAGAGATCAAAACAGGCAGGGAAGAAAGGAAGGGAAGGCACAAAATAAAAAGATGGGGGTAAAACCTGTCCCACTCTGGAGTGGACAGCAGGATTTCTACAGCCAGGATCTCAGCACAGAACTGGGCAAAAACAGGAATAACAGTAAGATAGAAGAGCAGTACAAAGGAAAGGAGGATGCGAGAGACTGAAATCAAAATGGAGAATGAGTTCAGAGAGGGAGGGGGAGGAAGTGAGGAGGGAGCAGCTGTGGGCAGCCAGGCAAAATCTGTGCTGTAGCATCCCTGAGCCACCAGGGGAGAGGTGAGGGTTCCGACCAGATAAAGTGGAAACCTCTGCTTGACACGACTGTCTGGCAGCTCAGTCATCTCCCTCCTACAATGCAATAGAAATCCTGTCCCTGTGTAAAACACCCACGGCCAGTTAGGACACGACACAGTTTCTGCCAGTCCTTCATACCCTCCTCCACCACGGTGAGGTGGATCAATCTGGAGCTTGTGAAGAGAGGCCGGTGAATCTCAAACTCAAACTCCCGGGTGATATTACAGGTGTAGATACCCGAATCATTCAAGGTGACATTTAACACAGTGATGGATACATCCTGCATGTCTTTACTGCCATTCCATTGTATCCGACCACTGAAGCGGCTTGGAAACTCGTGATTCATTTTCCTGTGCTCGTAGATCTGTGAAGGAACACGAAGGGATATTCTGATTAACAGCTGACTTCAATTTCACACAACAACACAGCATATCCAAGCAACTCTGCTCTCCTCTGGCTGCATACTTCATACTTCATACTTCTGGGATATGGCCTTCCTGGCATCAACATAACACTTTGTTATCCCTTACCTCACAATCTCAGCCTGCTTTACCAATAAGAGAAAACTGAATTATTTCCATCATGGAAGCAAAAAAAACAGAGGCAGAGAACAGTAGAGAGACATATGGACAATGACACACACAAAAAAATCAGCAACTGAACTAAAATTAGGATGCTGTAGCCTTAGTGACTGGCCTGTCAGTCACTGGGTCATCTTCAGAAGGCACCACAGAAAACAATACAGCCAAGACAAAAAGTCCTTTTCTGTAAGCCCTGAGATATCCAGCTAACATGGAGGTGTTGTAAAAGAAGGACAACAGTGTGAGAACAGCATCAGAAGCACGGACCTTGGGTGGCTTTCACAAGGCTGGGCACTGGCAAGTTTCTGGCTGAACACAGCCATCACACTGCCTGCCCAGCTCACCCTCATGGCCAACCTTTGGGCTGCTGCTAGCAGGTCTCACCCATCTCATTCCCTTGTGCGGTTCCTTTCGTTCTCAGAGTAGGAGATTATTTGCTGTCTTGCCTGGCCTTACTTAATCGTGATGAAATGAAGGCACAGATCTAATTCTTCACGCTTGGATAAAATAGCTGCTGAAACCTTATTCTCAGATTAACCATTCTTGTAAGGCTCCCATTTTAATTCACCCTGAAAACTAATTTTACCTTTTCCTGACAGGAATCCAAAAGCAACTCGCACAGATCCTCCCACAGTCAGCACACCATTGGCTTCTTTGTGGCAAAAAAGAATTAAGTTCTGTCCTACAGATTTAGCAGAGCCTGATTTAACCTCCAAAGAACTGTTTCAGAATTCAGAAGCATCCCAAGAAATAAGAGTTGGCCAATATGGCTGGTGTCATTCCATGCTTCTGTGTTTCTTTCTCAATTCCCTTGTATACTGGATGATAGACATTCAAAGAAAGAAACTAGAAATTGACATTCATGTACATGCAACCCAAAATGTCTGAACTCACCAACAGACTCCAGCTTTTCCTGCCATGGGTACCTGCTGTGTGCTAATCAGCTCAGCTCATCAGCTCAGCAAGGAAAAGATGCTTTAGTTACTGCTCAGCAGCAGTGTTATAGAACCTTTAGGTAAAAATACCATACAAACTGAAGATCTAAGGTTTGCAGCTGAATTTAGCTACCAGCTCATTTCTCCTCCATGATATTAAAGCAGCCTGTTGGGCATTCCTACAGACTTTGAATGAAAACATGGCATAAACCTTGTCTTCATGTCTGGGTCTCTTCATCAAGGATCTGTGGCAAGACAAACTCACACTCTTCATATTAAATCTTTTGGCTTCTCCCATGAGTTCTCTGGACCAACAACATGGCCAACCAAAGCAAGGGCTCAGCTACCCAAACATACATACGGGTTCATCTTTGCCACCCTCCGGCCTGTAGAACCATTCCACCACTGTGCTGGCTGTGACCTCTTCCCTCTTCATGCAGGAGATGCAGAGCAGCTTCATGTCCGTGCCCTGGACTGCCTCTGTCTCTGATGGAACTTCAACACATACTGCAGAACAAAAACCAGCTAGGAAAAAAGCAGTGGAAGAAAAGTGAGCAAAGATATGGGAGAGAAACACAGAGACAGCAGTTATCCATGCACATAGTGGAAAACCCTTTGATTCATTACTAGCACCCTCTGCTTCTCTTCCTTCTCTGAGATATAAACAGAGCTTCAGAATTAACAGAAGGTGATCAATTCATGCAGATTCACCTGTCCAGCATCTGCTTTGTTACAACTTTTAATTTTTCCTGTAGTAATTGATGCTGTTTTGAAGGCATGGCTCATTCTTTCTCCCACATGCTGAGCATGCTCCCGTTCCAGCAGCAATTAGAGGCTGGGATGAGAGAAAGCCCAGAATTCAAGCATGGAGGCACAGCTCGCTCTTTGTGCGAGTTGAAAGGTGGATGTTTTCATCTGGCAGCCAGCTCAAAATAAAGGGTTAAGATTCTCCATGCTTCCTGTTTCTAGGTTTCGTAAGCAGTCCTGGAAATCAAGGGCTTGGACCTGAGTGCATTTGGCAGCTGGGGGAGTTATTGATTTTACGTGCACTCCGCTTTAGAACGCTTCCAATCAGATTTGTGCAAACATGGGCAGCTATAAAATACAGTTCTCTCAAACGAGACAAAAATCAGAGTCTGTGAAGGCAAATGCTTTGATATGAAACCCAATGCTCCAGCGCGACATCTCAAGACTAAATCTCTGCTGACATTTGTCCCCTGGGCTAAACAATGCTGGGTTCCGTCTGTCCCACCCTGTCTCTGAGTGCAGCTCAGTGGAGATGCTGACTTTGCTGCTGCTCCCTCCTCCCCAAGCCTCTGAGATTGCATTAACCCTCACTCTCATGCCCTGTATTTTCCTGGGACCTATCCTGGAAACGGTTCCTTTTCTCCCACATCGCCTCTATGGATAGCAACAGTTTTCAGGGAGAAATAAAGAAACGACTACTGGCTCGTGCTCTACTGCACTTACATTAAACACACACATGCAAACAGAGCTGTAGGTATCCATGCACATTAAACCGAGCTGTGTTAGCAAAACTAACGGCGTATCTTCCGACTGCAGATAAAATGGCAATAAAACCCAAACGTTTCCTTCAGGTTACGCTGCCCCGCACAGAAAAGCAGCGCTGCATATGGGTTCATGTGGCCTCTCTGTGGAAACTGCACGTTAAATTACACTGCAAATTTTACAACAAAAGCAAACAGGAAACAGTGAGGAACTTGCAGGCGTGTGCAAGCGCACGCTTTCTGCCAGAAGTCCGCTCAGCAATATTACATTTCTCTGCTCATATTAACTCCACTAGGTTGCTATTAACTCCATACCGATGTTATTTCCTTCTCTTCTCACAAACAAAACAAAAAGCCGCTCCAAAGCTTTTGTGACAGCCTGAAAGGAACCCCGTGAGAAAAGAGCATCCTACCAGCAAGCAGCATGGGGAGAAAGAACCCTCCTGAACACAACAGGCAATGGAAGCACTTACCCCAAACGACCAAAGCGGCCGAAGAAGCGCAGAGCAGCCTCGGCAGCGCAGCCATTGTTCCGAGCGAGGAGCTCATCATCCCTCGGGCTCAGCTCCTCCCGTACAACGCAACAGGATGCTCCGAGGATCCGCGCTCCGGCGGCAGCACCACGGACAGGGCCGGGGCGAGGCGGGGCGGCTCCGGGAGCAGCAGGTGGCTGCGGGAGAGAGCGAGCCGCGCTCCGCCGGCTCTCGGCAACCCCACGGCCGGCAACGGCTGCGCGGAGCTCAGCCTCGCCCGGGCGGGGGGCCCGGCTCACGGCAGGCATGCGCGGGCCCTCCCTCACCGCCGGCCCCAACCCCAACGCGGGGCTCCTCCCGGTTGTGGAGATGCAGCTCGAGGTTTCCTTGCTGGGTTCTGTTGGAGTCAGGGGAGGGGGCCGTGCTCTTTTTCCCTTTTGGCTGGAGAGGGGTTATTAGCATCGTTTATCTGTCTCGGAAATAAAGCCAGATAAAGAGCAGGGGGAGAGCTATCTGTGCGAGGTCACCGGGAGGGCTTCGCCTGTAATGAGTTTAATACTAGCATTTGTACAGCTCTGAAGGTCACGTCTGGAAATACTGGGAAATCCTCTCCTCGTGTTCCAGTCCGACTCCCAGGAGCTCAGTGCCAGCAGCAGGCTGGGCTTTCTCTGCTTGGACTGGAGCCACAGCACCCAGAAAGGCTCCAACTCTGAAGGTCACAGTGGGCAGAGAGGGAGAAACGAAGCGCTCGTTAAATGGGCTCCCTCTTCACAAAGCATCTGTGCTGATGGCAGCTCAATGCACAGCGCAATCTATTGAATGAAACCTGGCCAATTCCATCAGACAATGACATGGGAGCAACTCCCTGTGCCAAAACCCAGACGTACGTGTTGGACAGATGAGAACCACCCAACAGAAAACAGCAGCCATCTGAAAGCATCGGATTCAGCCCTCTGGCTGGACGTGGGCTCCCCAGCAGGGCACTACACTGCTGAGTCTGGACCTTCCCAGCACTGCAGCTTGGTCCTGAGGGCACACACATGCAATCTGGTCCCTACACTGCATAAGCAAAGCAGGCATAGAACAAAGACAGTGAATGCCCTTCCTAAAAATCATCCAACTGTTTGTAGCAGAGGCTGTGACCCCTGAAACCTTTGCAGCCCTGAAATATTGCAGCAGTGGCTGACCAAAGCCATGGCAGCTTCTATCTCCTCTGCCCGTGGGGTTCTCCAGCTTTATCCACCATGCTACCATCAAATTTCCCAAAGAAAACACCTATGTATCTCCAGGAGCCAGGAGCAGAGACCAGATGTCAGCAACACCTTTCCACTTTCTCCCTTAAAAGCCATCCGTCGTGAATGTCTGAATCAGAATATTTAACTTTTCCCTGAAGGAAGCAAAAATAGCACCCCCAATACCCAGAGATGATAATACATAAAGCCACATGCTCACCTCCCATTGCCCCTCTCTGTTTCCACAACTCAACAAAAGGAAAGGCAGGCTTAGCTACAGGATTTGCTCCTAGCTTTTCCGGAACAATCCAGCCTGAGTGCTGGTGAAGGGTATTTTTATAGCCACAGGAAGCACTGAACAATGTTCACAGCCATCTCATTTGACAAGCACCTGTTTCATGAAGTGCAGTGGAAATCACATCTGTTCCCGGGCAGCCAGGTGCACTGCCAGGAGCTGCAGGACACGGATCAGCAGAGCTGCACTGTGCTGTGCTGCTCTACTTACATCTATTCCGGAGAGCACTGCCAGGATTGGCAGAGAGGGTCCAAGTCTATAGGATTACAAGGATGCAGCAGCTCTATGATTTGCTCAACAGCCACTAATTGACCCTTCATCCTCATCACAGTCTCGCTCAGGTGTCTTGGTGCTCTTCCTCTTCTCCTTTAACCCCAGGCACTCCAGAAGTCATCTGACAACCAACTGAAATGACAGTAACAAACAAACATCCTTCAGCAGTAATGAGTTTTCCCTCAGGATCATTTATGTGCCAACCTGAAGCACTGCACACAGTACTCATCCTGGTCAGACTGGAGTTCTAATTATTATTTAAAAATGGGAAATGTGGCCCAGGGGTGAAGAAAATGGCTGGTGAAACCGGGCTTGGGTTTTGGTGGACTGTAACATGATAAGGCACAGGGCAGAGAAGCAAGCAGACATCACATCCTCTCCCCCTCTAGAGCACACTTCGACATGCACTACAGACAAAGCATTTTCACAGAATGGCCTGGGATGAAAAGCAGCACAATGCTCATCCAGTTTCAACCCCCTGCTACGTGCAGGGTCACCAACCACCAGACCAGGCTGCCCAGAGCCACATCCAGCCTGGCCTTGAATGCCTGCAGAGATGGGGCAAAGATGATTTGCAGTGCATGCTCTTGGTCTGGAACGTGTTCCCTGACTATTTGGGTATGCTGTGTGTTTTCAGAATGAAAGGGTGAGATCCTTTAATTCTTGCTCTGAGCTGGGCTTGGCTGGGAACCACTCCAACATCTCCACGTGCCTGTTTTGAACAGATGATAAATGCTGCCCAGACCCCTTCAGAAAACCTTGCAAATAAACGAGACATCATACCGAAAGCTTCTTTGCTGTGTGAGAGATGGAGAGCACATATTCTTCATAACCCACCCACTCTAAGGATGCACAGCCTCTCCTCCTTGCTCTGATGCCTGCAGGGAGCAGGCTGGAGCAGAGGCACAGCCCATAGGGCGAAGGATGTTCAGTGCCACAAAGCCCTCGGCCATTTTAGCACTTCAGGGGACGTGGTGAAGGGGAATGAATGTTGAGAAATCTTGAGAGCTGCAAGAAGCAGCCCAACTTATCATGCAGGGGTTGCTATGGCAACCCACCCAGTTAATGCTTCACCAGCAAAAAGAAAAGAAAAAAGGGGGGAAAAAAAGGCTGGTACTTCTGCACAGGCACAACAGGACGAGGAGATAAAAAATAAATTCAGCACCCCCACCCCCATTAATCCCTCAATCTTCTGGTCTCTGAGCCACGCTATGGGAGAGGGAGCACAGAACCTGCACCTCTGGCTTCATCTCAGCCCCATCTCAGCAGTTCCTCTGTCATTGCAATAATCATGCCAGCTCACTTCAGCACAACTGTCCTCTTCGCTGTGCAGCTAAACATCAGCAAAGCTTGTTCCTTGCCCCTTTCCTGTCCATCAGGAGCCAACACAGACCCACTGCTGGCACCAATTTCACCTTGCCATCCCAGACTCAAGGCAGCCAAAGCAGTGCAACAACAGACTGTGCATGTTCTCACTTTACTACTGCTCCCAGAGCTTCAACTAGCTCTGCTCGTGCCTGAAGAAGAGACCTCCAAGGCCCCTGGATGGGCGATATTCTGACCTCTTAACTCCAACTGCTCTCCCTTTCTGTTTTCAATGACAACACACAAAGCATCCCTATGCCATCCTTATCTCCCAGAGAAAACAGTCTGCTCAATATGCCTCCTTAGTTCTTAGAATTCTTTTCCTTTCAGATCTACAAAGAGGGAGATCTGAACAAGAGGGCTCAGGCCAGCCATCTGTGAGCCCTCAGTGCCTTTCATAGCAGTGCTCTCTCAGATAAATACTTCCTCCAACACAGAAGAGCACTAAATAAGCCCAGGCCTGTGCACACACACAGCCTGTGTACTTAGATCCCTTTAAGCAGCAGGTGTGCTGTGAAGGCTGGGTTAAAAACTGCCCCATGTTTGAGAAATTGGCACTGAGATTCATTCCTCCACATTGCTACCATTTTGTGGTCAGTTAAGCCCTGGTGCCACTGCAGGTCCTTTTGAGATACTGTTTTCTGAGCCTCAGCACCAAGAAGATCAAGCAGTGTATAAGCATGTAGGCAAGCCTTTGCGTGCTGTAACTGAAGTGCTGTTTTACCAATCTGCAATTTAACAAGGTGGCACTTTCACAGATTTGCTTTTAGGCCTCTCCTCAGCCCATTCATTTCAGCAGTGGATAGAAATCCATTAGCAGCGGATTGCCACACGCAGTCATTCACATTTGCTCATTTAATTTCTCGTACTCTTAAAACTCTTACTGCTACTGAAATACACCGCTGCATCAATTATTTTAGCACCTTGCAATGACTCTTCTTCTGCAAAATAAAACCCTGGTGCACCAAGTGTTACCATCTTACCTTGGCTGAATTGAATTGAAAACCACTGCAGTTTTCTTCCTTAAAGGGTAAGGCTGAACCTCCCCACAGCCAGCATTAAACAAGGAAAACACATCATTAACTCCTTTTCAAGTCCCCTAGAATGCTGCTTCTCAAATGTGATTTGTTCTGTTGACCAAGGAATACAAAGGATTCAGGAACACAGCACATGTGTGGCTGCATATATTCACTATCTTGCACTGCTGTGTCTCCCAGTCTGAAAAAGAAACTTTCTCAGTTTTTGGCCTTGTCCTGTACCTTCCATCTGCGTGTTTCCAGCTCTCCCTTCCAGTAGCACAACTGTCATCATCTTTCAGATAAAAGAACAAGCACATTTGCAGTATATCAGACATCACATGTAAAAAAAGGAAAAAGAGTTTTCCCAGCTTCAATAAGACAAATCTGAAAGGGCTTTTGACAGTGAGAAACGCCTTCTCGGTCCAATTCAAAGTTGCTGGGTAAAGTGATGCAAGTTTCACAGAGCTCTGAATCTGTAAAGTCTCTTTTGCTTTCAAAGCTATCTTTTTCAAAGGGAACTTCAACACCCAAGCAAGCACCTTCTCCTGGCTAGGTATTCTGCTACAGCTCGCTGCGTTTTAGTCGTTCTATTAACTTTGTACAAAGAAACAAGCATTAAAAAAGAAAAAGAGAGAGAGCAGTCACTGGTTTCTATCCAAATTCTGTGTAGGAAAGGAGAGGTTACGCGCAGCCCGGCGGGGTTTGCAGTGCCGCCGACGGCCGCCAGAGGGCGCTGTTCTCTCTGCGTTACGGAGCGCTCAGGCAGAGCCCGGCTCCTCCCTGCACAGGGCGGCAATGCGCTTCTTAAGAGCTGGAGACTTATTGCCTTCATGGGCTCCCGTGCTCTGCTCTGATGTGTTTGCTGTTAACTGTTCACCTCAGTGAGTCCCCATCACTTTGCACACACGACACTTTGCTCAGCGGACGAGCCTTTCTGGCTTTCTGTCCTCACGGCTGTCCAGGGTCCCAGCTGGTCAATAATTAAAAATCTACAGAGAACAAAACTTACTGTAGAAGAGCCATGAGTTGTACAAAAAGAATGGACCCCATAAACCTGTGATGTTCCATTTCTGGCGTGAATTCTTCTTAGTATTCTACCAACAAGCTGGGCAATCCCGCACTATCTCACCTCTGCAAACTTCCTTTAGCTTATCTACAAATAGAGTACATGTAGAGACCCTGGCTTACGCCCTTCACTAGTTAGTGAGAAGTTCTTCAGAAGTACTTCACTTCTCTGAGATGAAAAATAAACCTACGTCAAAGCTGCATGTGGTGGCTGTCAGGCAGAATGCAATACTTAACCTTTTGTGTGCGAGGCTGACCAGGGCCCTTTCACCCCAAAGACCTGAAGTTCCTGATACAGCAAAACCATAAAATCCCTACAAATAGATCAGCTTTGTTCAGTGCCTGCCAAGGCTAAAAGCATTTGGCCATAAAGGACATAAGTGATGCTTAATGAAGACATCAGATTTCTGTGATGCAGTAAAAGCAAGAGGGATGCAGAAAGTCCTCCCTAGACCTAAGCCTGGAATGCAGCACCACCAACTCCATGCACACACTCACCTTGCCCTCACTCCTCCTGTTTCACCTCTTGCTGTCCTCTTTGCCCTGCCAACCCCTGCGCCTCCTACACGTCCCTCAATTTGCTCTGTCATTCTGCCCTGCCTGCAGCTCACCTGCAGCCCTGTCTGCCCTCAGCCCCTCTCACTGCTCAGCAGATGGGCAGTTGCTCCCTCCTCCATGGTGCCTCCACAGATCACGTGCTTTGCATTGAACAGAGAGGGCACTACACAGAAATAGACTCTATTGCATGCAGTGACCAATTACAGTGAGTCACTACTTTTATCAAGAAGATACAGACTGTATAAAAACACTGGCGTTGGCTATAATTAATAAACAAGATGCTCTAAGAAGAATGAATCAGTAACTGCTGATACCATACACAGATATCTGTGCACTCCAGCCAGATATCAGCCACTTGAGCTAAATAAAGTGATTTAAAAAACTAAAGATACCTGGGGAATCAGACAGGCTGGCAGGAACAGGGAATAATGCAATTCCAGCAGCAGTCCTTGAACAGAGCAGAACAAAAGCACCCCTATATCATGTTCCATGGATGGCCAGCTACCTGAGTCAGATAATTAATTGCTTGGAGGTCAGTGTGGTTGCATCTTTCAAGGTCAGCTTAAACTAGGTCATCAGCTCAAGTCTGTGTTTTGGCCAAGGCTAAAAATCAGGGTCAACTGCTAGCACCATGTCGAGGATGAAACCAAGAGTGTTCTTGGTCCTAAAGGTGCCATTATTATTTGTCCACCCTCAATACTAATGAAACCAAACCCAGTTTTTTGGATGGTACTTACTTTGGAAAGAGAGACAGCTTCCTTCCAGCACTAGAGGTGAGGCCCTCCAACTCAAGAACATGGGATGCTGTTGGTGGATGCTCCCCAATCACACTCACACAGCAGAAATCCAGCATTCCAGCATCGTGCTTCCAGAAGGCCATTGCTATTGGAAGAACTCCTTATTAAAAGAAAAGGGTGTTCATTATTACTCATAAATGAGAGAGAAGCTTGCTGTTATAAGAGAATCAAGTTTTATCTTATGTATTCCAATACATTTTCCTTGCTATTACTATGTGTACTTTTGAATAATCAAAACAAGAAACCACTTGCTGTGCCTTCTGTCTCCTTCTTTCCTATCTGTACAGATTCAGCCCCACAGGATCCCTGTCCAGATAACAATCACCCAATGAAAACAACAGGCTGTGCATAAGGAGCCATGCAGATCGCATCAGGGAGAGAACACCATACTCATGTATGCCACTCTAAGAGGCAACTGTATGTGTCCCTCTGTATAAAAGTTGGGGTACTGGAAGCCATCCATAGTGTCACAAAAGCCCTGTAGGAATGAGGTGAAAGGGTACCCAGGTGACCCAGTGAGGAGTGGTTTGATCATTCCCATTCCAATGGCACTACACAGCTGCTAACAGTACCCGAGTTCCTCAATTCTGATCATTCAAGCACCCAGGATGCTCACAGTACATCTCCAACAGCTACTTATTACCTCCAGTGTAAACAACCTCCAATCTAAAAACATTTTTGGAAGAACAGTTTTCATTCTAAAGCCAAGATCTTTTATTTTCAAGACCTTCGATGGGCTTTTATGGGTAGGATCAGCAGAACGAGGGACGCAGAGGTCACCACCTTCATGCACCTGAATGAATACCACAGACATCATGGGATGCTCATGATTTTTCAGAAGGCTCTGAACAAAACCACTGAGGGAAAAAAAAATATATATATATTTTCTATAAAAACACACAAGTTTTATGCCAGAAATTTCATTACATTAAAACCAGGCTGTGCATTCCAAAGCACAACCATGACAGATGTTCCCAGTTGGCATCATTTAAACATCCCCCTCCTTTGCCTGGTAGGGATTATATTCCCATCTCCAGTGCATAACTGCTCTCCCTGCACAGCTCTGGGTGCCAGAGAGAAAGGTGCTCAGTGGGTTTGGGCTGCACACTGCAGAGGGCAACTCCCACTGCTTTTACCACAGTCCTTCCTCCTCCTACACCCATCCTGACATAAACCAGATGACATATTCTAACAAAGGAGCTGTTTGTTCTATAAATAGGTTTTTTTCCCTCACATACCACAGGCATGAGAGCCCTTTCCCAGCATCTAAGAACAACAACGCACAACCAGTATCAACACGGGTTGTTTCTCCAAGAGATGACACACTTCAGTGCAGCACACACGAGCACGGAGCTATTTCTGAAGGAGAAATAAGGATTTCACACATCCTCAGTGAATGTTGGAAGCTTACTTTGATTTAGAAAGAAACGTGCTTTCTGTGATGTGTCAGGGCAGCTTCTTTCATTCTCTGAAAGCAAGAAAGAAAACTGCATTTTTAGAGGAACTGTAATCTAAAATCACTTTAAAAATGAACAGCAAACTATCAGCAAGTATCTAGAACACAACAGCTAATTTGAGTTGACCCAAAATACCACAAAATGTACCAATTTTCCACCCCAATTATTTTAGGGTCCATAGAAGGAGAATTTGGAAGACCATGTAGATACATGGGGTAAACTCCATACACAACTGATGCTGGGTTTTCAGTATCCCTTCACTATCACCTCCTGATTTCTGGAGGTGCTGCCAATGAATCAGTCCTTCAACCACTGCAGCCCATGAGGACCAACCCCAACAGGAGGCACAGGGGCTGACCGAGGCCAAGCACTTTGCTGAAGGCCACAGATTAAAGCCAGGCTGAGGCGAGGGCCCCTGCCTTCCTATTTCCTGTTGCCATGACCAGGTTACACAGCCTCCGCCCCACCACTGACCCCTTCATTGCATTCATACCTTCATTGCTGCCCCATGATCATGCACAGGTCTGTTGATCAAACCTGGACACAGCTTGCTCAGCAAAACCTTCTCACTCGTTTCCCTTTCCAGGCAAAGCTTTACAGTCCCTTCTTTTCCCCATCTTGCTCGTGGAACACATGGATGCCCACATGCTAACATTTCAGTACCAGCAGCTGCTCCTGCTGAAGATGGCAGCATCTCCTTACCTTAATCCATTTCACACAACAGCACAGACCTGAACACAACCCTGGGAATCCACTGCACGACTGTGAGGACAGGCTACGACTGACAGGTAGGAATGTTTCCTGCAGCAGATAGATTTTCCTGAGTGCTGTTCCAGCCTCAAAGCCAAAAAATGGGCTTGATAGGCTGAAGTCTTCTGACTACACCTGGAAAATACAACACAAACACCCTGCTGTGAGTAGCAGCTATCTCCCAGATATATACTTTATACACTATCTCAGGAAGTGTTTCAACATTCCTGGCCACCAAACTGCAAATTCCTTTCAGCTCATAATGTAATAAGATGGGAGTTCTCATGGGGTACAGTGATGCTGAACAGTATCAGAGGGTTGAGCAGCATCAGGAGTCCTTCAGGGAGAAAGAGGAGAGCACAGGGCTTCACTACAGCAGGTTGGTGCAGCAGAGAGCACAGCTACTGGATCAGGAGAACTGCCTGCCTTGCACAGCAGACCCCAGTACTCATTCAAGGAATCTCAGAAAAGGAAATGTTTTCCCACCCGTGTCTTGCTCTATTGAGGCCAACCCAATTTTGGCTTCAGCTGGAATTTCCTTCTTCAACCTGAGCAAAACTCCCCAGCCCTTCCCTGGAGCAGTCTAGAATGCAGTTCATGTGTGATAGAGGTTCTCAATGTGTGACAGAGGTTGTCAATCTTTGGTGCAGTGCTCGGAAGTGGGAAGGAAGCAGCATTCCCACACTCATTCCCATTGCCAGCTGGTTGCCTCTAAGCAGTTAATCACCCACCTCTCACGTGGCCTGTAACAGTTTCTGCAAGGAGGCTGGCAAGAACAAGCTGGCTACCAATACAGAAATAGGGCATGCAGCACTGATGAGCATGAAGATGAAGATAGGAGTTCTGCCCTTGGGTCTTTCCAGACATACACAGGATATGAGGCTGAGTTTTGCTGTTCATCAACACACAATGCCAGAACAGAAAGTAGGTCAGCAAGTGGGGTATCTCAAAACTGCAGGAAGCTACCTGCCAATGTCTGTCCCAAGGGTGGGCTGGATGTGTGTAGGCACCAGCAGAGCTGATTTTTAGACAGAAAAAACAGAAACTGCTTGATCCCAAGTGTGTAGTGGGCTCCCAAACACTACGTGAAGCAGCAGAGCAAGAGAGCCAGTGCTCAGGAGAGGGAGATGTTCACATTGAGGTGCTGGGGCCCTGGGCAGAGGCATGCTGCCAGCCCTGGGTGCTATCTCTGCACCAAAAAGTGAGCCCAATGCACAGCAAAGCAGGGATTACAACATCAGACTCAGCACAGGCACACACAGCTTTAAGCTATTCTTCCTGAGTGTCCTACATAACAAACCCAAACAAATTAAGGAATGAGTAATGGAAAGGTAGGAGGTGGCAAGGCTTGTTTTGGTTCAGGAAAGGATTCCCACCCCTTGCCTGGAATCTAAATTAGATTCAATTTAGATTACAATGAGGCAAGGCCAAACCCCCTTGATGAATGAGTTGCTGAAGTAGATCACTTGTATTTTGCAGCTGTTCTTTAATAAATTCATTTATTTGTCCCCTGCTTCTGCTTTTGTTTCTGATGTTATCAGCCTCGTGCCATGTCCTCCCCTGTCCCTCTAGTTTAGGATAGCCCTTACAATCTCTCTCAGTGAGGACAGAAGCAATTTGTTTTCTGGTGGAGAGAGAATGTGTGCTTGGGCTGATAAGTGGATTATCTCCATAAACACCCTTTATAATGCTATGACACCCCACCCTCACAAAACCAAAGGAATTAATCACAGCCAGCAATGTGACATCCAAAGGAGAAAGCTCCCTCTCCTGCCTACTATGCTGGTATTGCAGCCAGGCTCTCCTCTTCAGGGAAAAGCAAGGAAAAATGCACATAAAATAAGAAGATCCATGTTCATGCTCACCATGTGTCTGCAGGAAAATGTGCCCAGCGAATACAGATCACAGCAGCTGTGAGGTTACAGCGCTGTGTGCCCCAGCTGGGCGTTCAGTTGCAAGAAACACGATGCACACAGCCAGCACCTCTCTGGTTTTCAACATCAGATCACGTGGTGGACAGTTCTGAAGATTCAAAACTTGCTTTTACACCCTAAATAACTGCTGACAGCCCAGCCCATATTGCACTGCACGGACAGAACGATTTACAGAGCAAAACCTCCAGCTGAAATGCATTTAACAGCTTAGAAACATACAGAGAGAAACGGTGCCAGGAAGCGCAGTGCCGAGAGCACCTCAAATGGATGCAAAGAATGAACAAAGGAACTTTAGGGATGGTTTGAAGGAAACAAAAGAATGTTTTACACAAAAGGGATGGGGACAGTGCTGGCTGCAGGACAGAGTCCAGCTACTTCGGGGATGCTCAGGCACTGTCTGGTTGGCTTGCTGCAGTAGAGGCGTTCATTTTGTTCTCCTGGTACTCCCCATCCCAAAAGTACTGCAGGAGGGATCACAGCCCCTGTTATCTCCCTCTCAAGAGAAATCAAGAACATGCAGCTACTTAAAGCAGATGCTCAGTTCCTCAATGGACTGAAACTCTTTTATCTCTGACTCATCTCCATAAGGAAGTGAAGCACACGCAAATCACATATGGGTCCAGAGCAGTGTACCTGGCAGATCTTTACATGCTCTGGAAGGTTTCCTTTAACAGCAGGCATTCATTCATTTCATACTTCTCAAGCACTAATTTACAGCTTGCTCTTGCTGAGTAATGGGGTTGGTGTAAATCAAAAGCAAAATCTGTCAGTGGCAGCTGGTAACAAAGAAGGGATGTGTCTGAAGGCAGACAGGACAGAATGCTGACCAGCAGCACCCAGCAGTAGCAGCAGGCATGCTCTTCACTTCCAGCAACTGCCCACCATGAGGGTCAAACACACTCTATTGCTTTACCCCAGTTTCATGAAGTCCAACCACAGAATTGCTCAGGTTCGAAAGACCTTCAAGATCATCGAGTTCAGTAGGAAAGAACAGAACCCTGCAACCCAGCCTGAAACCCACAGCAGGAAGCTGAATGCAGTGGGTCAAAGCCCTGCTTGGAGGGAAAGCCCACAGTGCTTGGGTTTAACTTCACAGCTCAGTGACTCAGGAGCAGAGGTGGATTTGGGGGAAAGGGCGTAAGTGAGGATCTTACCTGAGGATGACACAGCTCTGTGACGTGATGCCAGTTTCCTCTGATGGATCAAAACCAAAGTGCTGTCATTCCAATGCAAGTGTGCTCATTTTTGTCTCTTCCTTAGAGAACCCAACTTCACAACGGGTCACAAACAGAAACACTGAGCTTTTAGTTTCTGTCACCTTTGGCAGGTTCAGTCCACTCATCATTCTGGTGAGGAGAAATCACAACATTACTTTGCAGAGTACAAAACAACTCACCCAGGACCAGCACTGCATTACGACCACCTCTCCTTACGATGCTATTTTCCCTTTCCCATTTTCTGAGGCCTTCTCAATTGTTTCGCTGTTGTATTTTAGTCTTCTTTTCCTATTATGTAGCACATAATTCTTCCTTCCCTTTAGCTTTGCATGCATTTTAATATAAAATGATACTCATTTTGTAGTATCACTTCAGCAGCTGAATAATACACTTCAGGATGATCTGCAAGACAGGAATATTTGAACGCACTTCTGATTTTATGTACCAACCCAATAAACACAGTTCTTTGCCCAAAGAGCTTTCCTAAATGGATGTTCAGTTATTAATCTTCAAATACATTACATTAAAAAGTAATTTATTTTCAAACGATGCAGCAGCATCCATTTCTACATGCTATGATTACAAAGCCTCATTTTTCCAACAAGAGGAAATTTTCAGGGCCCTGAAACAGCTGTAAGTGAGGTATTATTATATCCACATCAGCTATCAAAGTACCACATTTCACTTCCATGGAAGCAAATACTAACTCATGTATTTCAATTTGCCACGATTACATTTTCCTTAGGAGAGAGGAATAATATACATTTTGGAACTTTTTGAGCCACCATTATCTGTCTCTATTGTCCTGGCTGCCCAAACTGCACTACAATTTAAAAGAATTACAGAGCAGACAAAGACCAAGTTTACTATTGCCAGCTAAAAAGCACGTGGAGAGTGGCCAACGAAACCCCAACTCAGTAACTAAGTTATGCACGTTTCCAAATATAAAATCCCATCATCATCAAGAAGAATGAGAACTTCTAAAGTAAAATTACCACGCTGGTGCTAAGCATTGTAAATCTCATCACCAAGCAGCTCTCACATTGAGATGACTTTTAAAATGCCCCCTGGAATGGAGATGGCAAAATGCTGCACGTTCCTCTACCAACAGATCTCTAAACCCAGTCGGTTTCACAGCTCATCAATACACTTGAGAAGGAATAAGGCTGTCTAGTCACAACCAAGCTGAAAAAAAAAAAAGCTGTCTGACTCAATCTTTTATTTTACATTCATGCCAATCTCCTAACTGCTTAATTAGCTGTGAGGATGAGCTATGCAGAGGCTCTGGAAGCCAACCTATTTATCATTTCAGCAATTTCTCCATCTTTGCAAAGCGATATGCAAACACCAATTACTGCTGTGATGCAGCTCATGCTGGTGGGCACAGTGCTGATGTGGCTGTGCAGTTCCAGCTCTGCAGCTGGCTCCTATGCCAGCAGTGGCTGCCCTGCTGCAAGGTGCAGCTGTGCTCTGACCCTCTCTGCCCTGGGAGGTGCCTGGAAGTGGGGTACCATGGAACATCAGTGCTGATTTCCAAAAGGAGATGAGCTGGAGCACTGTGCTTGCTGCATTGCTTGTGCAGACAGGTTGCACAGCAGCAAGGAGGAGCGCTTGGGGCAGAGCCACAACCAAGACAACTCAATTTGTTCTCCCTCTCATCAAAAGCGGAGATCTTGCCAAGCTATTTCAGCTTGTTTGCTTGCTTATATTACCACGATTCTTATTTGCATGTAACTCATGACTGACCTCAACCACCACCCCGCTGACTTGCAGGGCTCTGCATACTGAGCACGGCATTGGCCACATAGGCACCTCTCCTTCCCACTTAGTTTGTTCACAAATCCACTCAGCCCAGATGCATTCAGGATAATTGACTCTTGAAGCAGAACTTGATGGGACTTGTCAGAACCTTTCTTGGTAAAAATCAGCAATAGCAGCAAATCCTTCCCCATGGATGTGACAGACGGAAGATCAATTCCTGCCTAAATGTGCTCATTGGAAGCCCAAGGACAACATGTGCCCACATCTGCGGCTCCTTCTGACAGGTCTGAACACAAAAGCCAAATCAAAACATGCCATATCCTTCAAAAATGCTTGTTTTGGCATTTAAAACATGTCACCTGGGCTCATCTGTAGGCATTTATTCCTCAGGACAGGACTCACCTCCCCTAAAAGCCAGGGATTTCATCCAAATTATTCTTCCAGGCTTCTCCTCTGTTCAGGCAGAGAGCAGCATGCCTCCACAGTGTAATCATTATCTCATATATGCTTAACACAAACGAGATGAATTGCTGTCTGGATGTGCTTCTTTCTTCCCTTTGGCTATAAAGACAAACTGAGTGACTAGCACAGCCTCAGAGTTAAATTAGATGAGCTGTATCTCATCCTAAGCAATTTTATACTAGGGGATCCCATTATGTTTCTCAGCCATCAAGCAAATTATACGGCAAAGGGACGCAAATGAAGCAAGCAGAAAGCTCAGGTCTCACTACTACCTCACTACTGCCATTCATTTCATTGTGGGAGCACTCAGGTTGTGGGGCAGCCAGCTGTGCAAACCCTGGAGCAGACTGACAGCCCCACAGAGCAGCACATCACAGAGCTGTGACACTGTGACCACGATGCCTGCAGATTTCCTGGTTCTTCTGCAGGTTGCTGCCCCTCTGTGACTCAGTTTCTCCATCCATAAAGAGGCAATGATGCTCCTGACCTCTTTTGATCCACTGGTGGAAAAACAACCCTGGCACATAGTGGAAATGCTCAAGCTGCCCAGGGCTGAGCCTTGAAGGGTTGTACTAAAAAGGTCTACCCTATGGGGCCTTTCTGGGGCTGAGCACAGTAAATAACGAAGTACTGCAGAAATGATGTTCAAAAGGAAAAGATCTACAGGGAAAAAGCTAAACTCAATGGACGTTTTCTACTGAATACAATATTTTGGAACTGTTCAATACAAACATTTCACCAGAACAAAACTACAAAACGCCTGAGTACATGTCACACCTAACAAGACTTGGTAGCCTTTGTGAAATGCCTTTTCCAACATTAACCATGCTGCCTTGAGCAGATCCCAAAGCTGCATGGACCACAATGGGACACGAATTCAAAGATGCTGTCAACATCATGTCCAAGTTTCCAGCCCATCAGGCACAGAATCCATCTTCTCTCCCAACAGTGACTCAAACTTCTACTAACTCAAGTGTTGCAGAGTGCAGAAACAGACTTTATATAGAAGCCAGGGTGACAGCAAAAGCATGAGGCATTATTAAATATCAACTAATTATTCCTAATCAGAATAACTTCTGTCCATCCAATTTGTAATTATTTTAGAGGTGAGAAAGAATGAAAAAAAATGCCTTAAGAAAAAGCCTGGCTGTTACTAATGTCACTAAGTCAGAAAGCAGAATGTAGCAGCTATGGCCCAACTCAAAACAATGTTCAAATGTGAGCTTCTTTAAAATTGATTAATATTGTGCTGAACGAGGATCTGTCTCTTCCTGTAAGAGTCAGTGGGTCACTGAGCATGGCTGCTGTCATTCCGGGGCCATACAGTCCTCTGGAAAACATTTTGGTTCACTTTTACCTCTGGAAAACACGTGGCTGTGTGGCCCTGCCAGCCAAGCCCCATCTGTCTAACTGTAATTCTTAGGGAACTGACTTTGCACCCATCTGCATCCAATGGGTGGTTGGACTGGTTCTGAGCAGCAGCCAAACGATACCCAGTGTCAATCCAAGCTGAGGGCATTTTCCCAAGAGGAAAGCAGGTGAAAGGTCCGACAGCCCCAGGATGGAGCACGGGGATGCACTCAGCCCATGGGGAGCTCAGAAGGAGCACAGCCTCCTCCTCCCCTACCCCCAGTTGCTCCCCTCAAGGCCATCACTGCACGTGAAGCTGGATGGAGCCAAAGGCAGGGAAACCAGTGTGAGACCACAGCAAGCCGAGCCCCTTCACGTGCCTTCGACAAATATGAAACGAGTTTTTCCTGACCCTAAGCATTTTCAGTGCAAGGTCTACAAGGGTGACGTTTCACATTGCCCTGGGCTGCATATGAACCCACGTGGTTTTTAAATTCCACAGACAAAATGCTGCTTTCAACTTCACATTGCAGCTCGAACATCTCCGCTGTGTCACCCCCACAACCACTTCAAAGACCATTTTCTCTCACTCTGAAAGCCTCTGTTTTAGTCCAGCACATAAACCTGACTGCTATTGGAAGATGGCAGAATCTCAGAAGGAAATACAATAAAAATGAAATACACACAGGTTCTCTGAAATATCTCTAAAGGTATAATTGAGAAGAGAAAGCTCTCTTTCGATCCACACCATTTAAAGCAGCCTGCTGAATTCCACTGCAATGATACCACATATAAGTGGGGAGAAAATAAAGGGAAGAAAAGGACACAACACACTCTATTAAATGCTTCAATTGATTCCTACCACTGCTTTTACAACCTATCCAGTTTTCTGGGAATGCAGATGCAAAGGCAAAATGAAAAAATAATTTTAAAAACAGCCATTTTAAAACATGCTCCACTCTCCTCTTCGCTGCTGAAGCCCACCTTTCTCAATGTCCACTCCAACCACTGGCAAATGTAAACTTTGCTCCCTGCCTGCAAATCTGCAAGCACAGTCCCCGGTGGGAACCCCAAGCAGAGGTCAACCTGCATCCATGCAATGGTCACTGGCTGTCAGGTCTTGTAAACCATGAGCCATCACTTCGTCAGTCCCAGCCTTTGGCCTTGCAGACTGTGACTAAAGATCCAGACTTGCTCTGCCAGCAGCTGTTGCAAGCCGTGAGCCAGCATGTTGGCATTCTCAGCTGACACACTCACCCCTTCTGTGCTCACAAACCGTCATTTTCTCTTAGCAGAGCTCTTGGGTGATGTGACATAAATGCAGGGCCATCACGGGGTAGAAAGATAAATAAAAAAATCCATCTGTTTGAACAACCCACATTCAACCAACTGATTCATTTTTAATCACTTTCCAATAGAGGTCACCCAGCCAGTAAACATCTGGCTGTGGCACCTCAATAGCCTTATGATGTGAATTATCTCACAGTCAACATCTTGTCCTGCTGTATCGGTTCTCAATTACTTGTACAGTCACGTTAGTCCAATGACCTGCTTTC